TATCCTTATTTATAATCTGTAAGTGATTGGTATACATTGAATAGTGTCAAAATTTCCTAAATTACATTTAACATATTTATTTGTAACATAAACTACAGTAGAATCCCACTAAAATCCGACCTCAGATAGTCAGACTCCTCGTTTAATCTTAAATCTTTAATTGCCTAACGGTGGTAATGTTATTCCGGGTAATATCGTGACTATTTGCCTTGGCTGTGTGGAGTTAATCACAGTGTCCCGCAATCGCAGCAACATTTTTTTACGGAAGTATTACATAAACATAATTGTAAAGCAAACTGCTTCTAACTAGCCATTGTTTCTACAGCACGGAGACATGGAGCAGCGAGAGCGAGACTTGATCATGCGTCAGTTCCGTACTGGCTCTAGCAGAGTTCTGATTACTACTGACCTCTTGGCTAGAGGTATCGATGTCCAACAAGTGTCGTTGGTCATCAACTACGACTTGCCTTCAAACCGAGAGAACTACATTCACAGGTATAGTAATTGTAGCAAACGTCAATAATAAGAAACCAACTCCTCTGTTCTATCTCCATGTCATCTTAACTAAAATCCCTGATAACGCATCGTTATTACCTCCCGCAATCACAGACTGGGACATCATCGTTACCCTCCATTACATCCAGATTGGAAAAACTGTGAACTATTGGAGGTGTGCGATGCATCAAAATTAACACCTGCAGAAAATCAATTCAATACCCGCAATACAGGAGCGCCTTGTTGTTGCGTTTCCTTTTTTGAAGGCGTTTTTATTGAATTAATTCTTGGCATGTAAATATTGCTTTTACTGTATTACGAATTGTATACGAACTGATTTACCCCTCAATAAGTTGATAAATTTTAAATCTTGCTTAATTCAGAATTAACTATAGCCAACCTAGCCAGTTTGACAGAATCAGCAAGCCTCTAATATACTTGTGTGACTATTTAAAACCCATAGCTAATGTATAAGAGTCTTCCCTGCACCGCCATACTTTTTGTGCCACAATGCACATATAAGTGCCAATGTTCAGGGAATAGTAAACATGTAGACAGGAAACATCAAAATATTTTTAAATTGGTGTGCCGAAAATCTGCAAACATTTGAAAATTACTGTTAATGAAGGCTGGCACATGGAATTTGAGGTCGTCCTCAATTTTAAATTGTAGTAATCAACCAAAAAGTAAATAGTTTTCCCATTGGTAAAACCTATGTCAACTGTCATACTTTGGAGTTTCATTTGAATACCAGATACAAACCCCAATAAATCTCAAAACGAAAACTTTACTATCTTAACTCGACTACTGCACCATTGTTAGTGCAAGATTCTCGTTAAAAAAATTCTAGTCTCTTGTACTTGTATCTTTATAGCAAAGTAAGCCTTTGTATTTTAGTTTTCCCTGCACCGCCATACTTTGTGTGCCACAATGCACATATAAGTGCCAATGTTCAGGGAATAGTAAATTTGTGGACAGGAAACATCAAATTATCGTTAAATTGGTGTGCCGAAAATCCTCAAACAATTAATCATAGAATTGAAAATTAGTTAAAATACTCAGTGCTTTAATCTTTGGAGGACTTAAGGTTTTTAAAAATTCTGTCGAGCCATATCCTTAAAGGGTGTAGCTTGGTATAGGCCTAACATTGTATACTACTTTTATAAGTATAGTCAAAGCCTTTAGTAGGTATTTTTTAAACCATATTAGCATAATATGTTTTATTACAGCATGTTAACTTTGTTATTTCTTAAGTAATGTAAATTTACTTCCCTGCACCGCCATACTTCTTGTTCTACTATGAGCAAGGAAGTGCCAATGTTCAGGGTACAATAAATCTGGAGACAGGAAACATCAAAATGATATTTCAATTGGTGTGCCGAAAATCTCCGAACAAAATTTAGTTTCAAGTCTGTACACAGAATTAGTGTGTTCTCTGCTAGTTTTCTATTTTAGTTGTGAACAGTACCTTACTATTGATATGTGATTTATGCATATGGAACAAGCTGCCTCATTGAACTAGTTAAGCTACTGTCCAACCAGAATGTATTTTGCCTAATCAAATATTATTAATTAATTTGCTAACAACGTAATTATGTTGTTTCAGGATTGGCCGAGGTGGACGTTTCGGCAGGAAAGGTGTTGCCATTAACTTCGTCACGGAGCAAGACAAACGTGTACTAAACGATATTGAACAATTTTATAACACTACGATAGTTGAAATGCCGATGAATGTTGCCGATCTAATCTAGTGACCTAGCCAAGATTATGGTGTGAGTATCGGATCGCGCCGTGTTATATTGTGACGTGTATTTTTGATCGGCCTGCTTAAGATGCGCTCTTGATTCTACTGAGAAAGTGGTTGCTCTTATCCATAATTTCTGAAAAGTGACTTGAAAGGTTAGGGGTGCCCTAACCTCAATACTGAGTGATTTGATTCGTCAATCCTCAACTAAGTCTCCTTGGAGGCATTATTCGGTGTTAATAGGTGTATTGTTTATTGTTAATGTGTATTATGCTTTACATGATGGTACATGAGTGGTATCCTATGTTTATTATACATTACGTTATGTTTTATTATTCCAAACTGGCGATCTTAAAGCTATATTTTTTTGATGTTACAGATCTTTCAATTACTTCAAAATCACCATTGTCTCTCCCTAATAATTTATATTTTGAGTACTTTTCTTCATTTAGATTAATACCTACGCTTACATTTTGTTGTTTAAGAAAAAGTTTAGTTGGTCTTTGGAAGGGGTTTTTCAATCAAAAACGTTGTAGACGAAAACCTTTAGAAGTGGTTTTAGTGGCTACGGTTTTTTGTATATTATTTAATATAAATAAACATAATAAACAAACGCTTGTTCTATATTGCCTTGACCTCTTGCTTTGTTGTAAGGAAATGGTTTGTATACTAGTGTATATTTTTATATTACAATTGTGTTGTATTTACAGGGATTTCTCCCGTTCATCAGTGGAGAAGACATTTCGGAAATAAAGATCAAATCTTTCCAAATTGAAGCTCATCAATCAGTGGTTTATTTCTGTTTTTAGACTCCTTTGTGATATCCCAAAATTCCCTTGGCGGTTATTCAAGTTAACAATTTTATTGATTGGGCAACCTAATTTTACGTAAGATTATTTGACAGTAAAGGACATACCTTTCTATTCTTGTATTTATTAAATTTTTATATTTATTAAAAAACTGTATAAAGGTAGGATATTGTTTTTGTCATAACCCTTTGCCTTAAAAATATTGTAGTAATATTGTTTGATGACATTTTTTTCTTAATAAAATTATACAATTTAGTCATAGTAAGAATATAATGTAACTGTAAATACAAAACTGTTATCAAACTAATTTTCTCCTGTTATTAGTAGTTAAATATAGAAAAAGCTGAATGATTATGGCATTTCTTGAGTTTGTGCTCACCACAACAAAATAATTTTATATATTTGATTTTCAAATCCACTTGATCTCTGATTCTACCTTTGTATTTAGAAATCTGCTCATCATAAGATTGCCAACCCAGTTTCTCACGTCCAATGAAGTTTAAAATAAAAACTGTCAAATTGTGGTCACTATTAATGTTATCTTAGGTCCACACAAGTATGTAGGCCTATATAAACCAGTGTTTCTAACAGGTAGTCAGCACTCAGCAGTAATCATTGCAGTTTCCAAGTAATTGTCTTCATACCCAATATGATATCTGGACAATGGACAATTTGAGTAATTGAATGCAGAGCAATGACAAGTACCACATAGAAGTAAGATACAGAGGAACGGCCAAATGGTACACCTATAAGTGGTGTCTAGCACAAAGTCCAACACAACCCCGGCCCCTCGCCCACACACCAGCACCCTGTGCAATTTCCGGACAGGCTCACCAGTCGGGCTCTTGCTCATTAAAATATTTCCAACACAACATACCAGAGCAAATACAGTAATCCTATAAGCCACAGATGAGTAATAAATGGAGACATTTACAAATTTAAACTATGCCGATTGCATTCATTAATTTCTAACCATACTGTAGGCTACGGCTATATCCTCCTAAACACAGTTCGGTACTTTCTTTAGTCCCTGTAGCCTCCCTTGGAACCGCCACTGGGTCGGGTCTCGGGTCATGGCTGGATAACAGATTTAAGCACTCTCAAACACCAATTCCCATGCCTATTTCTAAAATATTAATATATAAAATTAAAATATTACTGGATGATAAATCTGTTTGAGTAAAGTATTTTCGTTCATATTCAGAGATATAGATTTTTAATTAAGTCACCAAAAGTCCCCGGCTGTTTGGGCTCATTCTTGCTCGACACTAGTACATTTCCTCCCCAACATACCAGAGCTAAAAAGCACACGGTTGTCCCATAAGCTTTTTTCCTCTATCTTACTTCCCTGTGCAAGCACTCGGTAGGCTTGGCTTACCATACCACTCACATATAGCAAAAATATTTAGCTGGGTAGCTCAGTGGTTATGCTGCTTGCCTAGTAATCAAAAGGTCGCTGGTTCGATCCCCGTTAAAGTGTTAAGCCTTTTGGTGGTTCAAAACTTGACCCAGCTGTCCTTGATTATTGGGGGTTTAATGTCAGCTGATTAATGAAACAGCTGATCTTAGAAACAAAGCTACACAAGGCATCCACTTCATTCTTAACTCATATTTGGGTTTAAATTTGCACATACAGGTGGCTTCCCATCATATAATAATGATGATGACCTTTTGATCATTAATTCATTAACCCTCTGACCAGAATCAAGTAACTAGTAGCTGAATATCACGATTTTTAAAGAGGTAGAATAAGGGTAAGCTAAAGCCAGCTTGCTTGTGTGACATGTTACAACCATGATTGGAAGCTTGTATTTAAATTGGTTTCCAAATTTACATTAGTTTCAACTATTTACTCGTTTAAAAACCTTACAAAACTTATGTAATATAGGTCTTTGGTCTTTGCCATTACTCAAGGGGTTCCTATAATCTATGGAATATAATAATGAACCAGCTGTTTTGAGCAACATTTTATTATCTATCTACAAATAATGGATACTTTGGTGGCAGGATTTTTATTGGAACAGATTCATGTTTGAGCCAATACTCTTTTTCAAGATAATCTCTTGCAATTGTGGCTCTGAAAAAAGAAAAATTGTATTAAATTGGAGTAAGCTTACAGCTTAGTAAACAGTCAAATAGCTCATATGATTTTCATGCTGAACTTGCTCAGTTTTGTTGTAAACAGTTCTTCTTGTAGTACTATAGTAGGGCTATGGGCATATCCTCCTCTAATACAGGGCTGTGGTGAAAGGATGAAAGTCAGCTGCGCTAATTTATAATGGAGTGTATGTGCAATAACTATGTTATTCCTGTTATTACAATGGCAATAGGCATGCTATGGTATGTTTAAATCCCAAAAAAAGATAATCTCTTGTGAAAAAAAAGTTCACACCAAAATATAGGGTCAAGTGGGGTAAGTGGAACCAGAGGGCATATGTAACCTCAGATAATCAACTGATTAGAAAAGTTTCAGCTTAATTGCTATCAAATTGTGTTCTCCGGACATTGTTTTAAGGTTCTTTACCTTAAAAAGCTAAATAACATAAAAAAAATGTACTTTTTGAATTTTGATAAAAGCTTACATACGTTAAATAGGTTTACAATGTATGGTTTACAATGTAACCTTTTGATGTAAATTCAAAGGTAAAACTGACATTTTTTTATATTTACATTTTTCAAATAAATGTAATAATATTTTGTGTATTAACTATTGTTTTTGCTTGTAGATTCAGAATATCCCTTCAAAGTAATTACATTTCTTACAACTTAGATTTTCCAACCATGGTTACACTTGCCCCCAAAATTTTGCGGTGGGGCAAGTGGAATATTAGTAACAGTTCTAGAAGCTGAGAAGAAATCTTTTCACAAACTGACCATAACAATATGTGCTAGATTTAAAAACACCATCTATTAAAAAAACATTTTCTTAAATTGAATCATGTGCCTAGAGATACTGTAGATATACTGTACTACAACCACACACTAAGTACCTACAGTACTACTACTTTTTTGTTAAAATACCCCATTTTTATAAGATTTTGCAATTTTACGTTTCATTACATTTTACAAAGTTTTCCACAAAGGTCTACAGAAAAGTTTGTAACTTAAAAACGGATAGAGATATTTTCATAATTCAAAAAGTCCCATAACTAGGTACAAAAAAATCTTTCTATTGACCGACTTGCCTCTCATTCTTCTCAATGCAATATATTATAATTCATATGTGGGTGGTTCTACTTGTCCCCATATTGGAGCAACTTTAACAACAAAACAATTTTTTTTTTAGTTTTAAGAAATTTTATTTTTGTAAGTTATTGTCTGTAAAGAGCCAGTTGTAGCATTGTTGTAGTTATGGTTGAAAAAATGCACAATTACCAATATAATATTACTTGAACAATGTAAAGTAAAAGTTGATCTATGCTAAAACCTGGTTCCACTTGCCCCACTTAACCCTAGTTTTAAAAATTAAATGTACAGTACTACCATGGTGGAAGGAAAATTCGTGTATTTTCCTTCCACCATGATGTACTACAGCACTTTTTAAATATATTTTTATCAACTCTACTGTTAGATAATTAGCTATCTATGGTTTAATTTCTAATAATTCAACATTACAAAAACAAACATGAAAAAAAATTAGACAATTTTAGTCAAATTGTGGATTTTCTCTTCACGCTGGTTGTAACAATATTTTCATGATCCATCTATTTTAAGCTACTTAAGTCAATGGTATTTGAACTTACACAACTCTCACTGTATGACCTTGGTCCTTTTCTTCTGGAAACCATCTGATAATCACCTCTTCTTTAGGGAGGTAGTTTATGTTTATTGCAGTGTTCTGAAAAATAGTAATTGCACACTTAACAAATCTTTAGAGAAATCAATACTGAAAATTAAGTAATAAAATATATGACCAATGTCTGTTACTTTGAACACCACCTGCAGATATGTTCTCTATGAAGAGTTACAAGGTGGCTTAAACTGTTGATAGTTAGTTAAACATTTTCATTAAATATACGGTAATTGAAATTGATTGTAAAAAAGGTTTAGTACAATCAATCTTGAGATTAACACTACATTGTTTTCAAAATTGTGTTTACAGAAAAATTTATGTAAAAAAGCCCCTTTCAACCACCTATGGCCATCTACCCCACAATTCTACCCACAATTCTATGAAAGAGGTGCAAAATCATGACATGACAAATGTAAATGGGGTAGGGTGTTTAAAAACCTACAGTAATTAACTCTGGACTTCTGTTAACCCTTCAATACAACAATAATTGTTTGCTTTAACATAGGTACCGGTCAGCACTTTGTGACCATTCACTATAAATTGAGATTCACTCTTACGAATCTTCTGTTGGGTAGTCAAAATAAATTGTAATGCTCTATTTTAACTATAGCCAACCAACTCGAAGATGTAGATTACACTCACCTTCTCCACACCGAAGCATGATATCAGCTTAACATCATTCGCAGGCCTAAATTTGCCCACAGGGATGTTGGATTCATTCCTAGTCTGAACCATGAAGCCGGCAAACTCATTGGTCTCATTGCCCTCTAGGGTGATGTACACACATCCATCTGCCTGGACCTATATGCAAACAACTTCAATTATGCCAATTAGAGATGTAACACAGAGTGTCGTGTAAGTAAACAGCCAAACTGGAAAATTGGTTCTTTGTGGGTCAAATTGAAGAGATAATTTAGGAATGAAGATTTTCCCTAAAACGCTTCATTTACCAGATATCTACTATTTTGTTTTTCCACATAGCAATTTTTATCTGTGTGTATCCAATACATACTGAAACGAAGAATTAATAATGCGCACATAAGATGATTAATAGTTTCAATGATTTTTCATCAGCTTTTTCCTTGTGTACTCAAAGATAAAAAAGGGTCTACTCCTTTTAATCTGTAGTGTACAATTTAAATCGACGGATGATCCTTTACCTTTGTTAATGTGTTACTCCTTCCAAGAGGGTTACAGTATATAGAAACGTTAAAACCCCGTGGGGCCGATTCCTGGGAGAATTGTTTACACCACAGATGTTGGCACTCACTGATCCCTCTATCATCATCAAAATTTAAAAACAATTGCCTGTGCCATCCAGGAGTTTCTGTTTGTGTGTGACGAAATGGAAATGCATAAGAGCTTCGCTCAACAAAGTTCAAAACGCATAACCCCTTTTGGTTAAACCTGGTTTTTATAGAATAATGTCCAAAAAGTCAATGAGGTTACCTTGTCATCGTCTATCTTGATGTTCCAAGGCAAGGGGCTGGTCTGTGGTGGAATGTCATTGCCTGGACTGAGACTCTCACAGGCATCTGGCCAAGGTTCCCAGTCAGCCCTGGCAGTGACAGACCTCAACAGGCAGCATAAGGACAACACTGCTGGCAGAATCACTGGCCTGCAAATAAATTCTGGAGTTATTTCCATATTCTCAACCCCTTCCCCTTTATGCATGTTTACTCTTAATGTAAGCAACAAAGTTACCACAAAAGGTTTCCTTACTATACATCATGGTAGATATGAGTGGTAATGGGCGTCCATCAATAAGATGTGTTGACTATTTTTTTTATTTTGCATTAAAAACATAACTTATAATTCAAACATGACTGAGGAGAAGTAAGAAATGTGTAAAATCAAAATTTTTGTACTTAACTTTTAAATATTTTCTGGAGCAGGTCCCTCCAGACCCCCCTCTTTACTGGGAGTTATTCCGTACCCCCAGACCTTCTGGCCTCCTTATGGAAAAGTTAGATGGATGACCATGAGTACTCAGCCTAACAATCAGAAAGTCACTGCTGGATCTTGAGACAAGTGATGGCTTTTCTATGTTTCTTTTGGTACCGTACGTTATCTTACTAATGGTTGGAAACGGAACTAGCTTTTATTTATTCTAAAACCATATTTAGCATACAGCAGTGGGTCAATATACTAAATTATTCGTCTTTCAAGTATAAAAAAAATTATAATTTTAGGGTCAAAAATGGGAATAATCAATATTTACCCTATAAAATCCCCATAACACTCCCTAGTTCACAAAACTGTTTAAATAAATTTAGATTTATATGTTTGAACCAAATTTCATCAAATCGGATGTTTTTATTAGAGTTATTGTACTGTTTTGTTTCGGATGATGTTTTTGGGCTCTGGGACATGGAAACAAAAAAGTAAAACGATCCCGGATGTGGGTCATACTACGAGACCTACGCAATAATAGTTTTCCCTATATATGGAAAATTCGTAAAAATGGTACTGCGTCTATTAAGCGGCTATAAGCATTATCACTTTTTGCTATTAACAAAACTGTTATTATGCAGATTACTTGTTTTGATCTTGACACAAATCGTTGCGTTTTGGATGTTGTGACAGATACTTTTCGTTTAAGAGGCTCTGTCAGCTTAGCTTCATATTAGAGAGTCCTGTCGGTTTTATAAAAGAACATTAACTTGTTGAACAAATTTAGAAGATAAAATGACTTTACTTGGCGCAGCTTATTAAATTTAAAGGCTCTATTTTTATAGTGGAAACAAAAAAACACTAGTCTGAATGAATCACTGGCAATAAAAAAGGATCAATAATTAGATAACTGTATGATTCTTTTATTAAATTAATTTAATATTTTGATGAACTATTACTGTATTCTGTGTTTGCTCAAAAAAATGTAAACAAATCTTAATTTAACCTCAATTTCAGGGTTGTTTTAGGTAAAATCAAATATATCAATCTTTTCAGATAAATTTAATTTACCCTAGTATGAAGGGAGAAAAGTCAATAAATACAAATTGATAACTTTTCTGGGTGAGATATTCCAAATGTTGTAATAAATAGTTAGAGATAAATTGAGGTATTTTAATAGTTACTTATTTTTATGATCTAACTAGTGTAAACAAAATCATACTTACACAGACATACTCAAATTTCTTAGTTTGTTGTTGTTATCACTGAATTTATGATACTACAATGTACATAACAGTTGTATACACAATGACATTCTTTGTAAGTGAAACCTATTCGATCAAAGCTCAAGAAAAATTAATATTGCAGTAATACTTTGACTATATAAACTACCAAAGAATACTGACTAAATAGACTGTTCAACTTCATTCATTTTACATATCTCCAAACACCATCTTGACTGATGTAATTGTCCCTAATTATTAAGTCAATACAACTAAAGATTAACATCTTTGGCTTTATTATACTTTAATTTGTTGACAATATTTGTTATGCCTTAAACTGAGCATACCTAGGTTGTCTGTTTACATAAAAAAAAGACATTGTGTTTTGAGAACGTTATTCTTTTTAAAAGATTGTCCTTTTTCCTAACAGAATAATTTAATTTAATTGTATTCTCGTATTTCAACTTTCTAATTGTAAGACATGTTCTCTACACAAAATATAAATTTTTGAGGGACCATTAATTTAGCCTATATTTAAAAGTTGTTAGGTCAAGGTTATTTTCTTAGCAAACCTTTTGAAAATTATGCCTCTCTTATTGAAAACAAATTTTAAAATCATATCTTATGTTTTTCTGTTTAAAATTTATTAAACTTTTCAATCAAAATACTTTGCACAAATCAGTTTTCAATAATTTGTAACAAACCTTAACTTTGGATATTAATTCATTTTATACTACTGAATAAACCACGAAAAGAACAACCTACCAATATATTGCAATTTACAACCATCATATAATTATGGCAGTTAATTGGGTCAGAATTAGTTATTTGTGCAACTAGTGAGAAAAGTGAGCAATTGACTCACTCGAGAGAAAACCTTACTCACGAGCCTAGGCGAGTGAGGAATGGTTTCTCGAGTGAGGCAATTGTACTTTGCACTCGAGTTGCACATTATACTTTTCCTACAGTTACCATAAAACAAATAAATTTGTGAAAGAAACATAACCTATTTTACACAGAAGTGAACTTTTAATATAGCATTTAATGTGAAGTGACAAATACAACAGTACAACGGCTGACCAGCTGATTTACAGCCAGTGCTGCCAACAGTGCCAACGTATTTCGCGCGCATACGACGTTGCCTGCATGTTACGCGCTCACTATTTCGTGCCTTCACGTTGCAAATCTGGAGTGAGACAAAGTAATTAGAGTGAGACAATGTTAACATTGTCTCACTGATGAGCGAATTGGCCACTTTGCTTTCTCAAATCAGTGAGAGAACATATACATTGTTGGGTAACTGTAGGAAAATATAATTTTTGAAATAAATACCTCAACAAGTTTGTTTTAAGAAATACTACAAGAAGTATAGATTATTCTCTGTTAGAAACCCAAGGGGATTAATATTTACACTAAGTGTTAAAGGCTAAAGTGGGTATTTATGGCTTTTAATCAATAAAATCTAAACTCTAAACCTCCAATGAAATTGCATGCTAATTCCTGAGATAATTGACTGCTGTGAAAATTAATAAGAACACAATTAACGACAAAAGGAAATGTATTGACAAACGGAAAATTATATTTATTAAATTAATCCAACAAATATTATAAATGAGAAAGTTTGGATGTATGGATGTATGGATGTATGTTTGTGACAAGTGAACGCGAAAAATACTGTTTGGATTGGGCTGAAATTTAGCATGATGATAGCTCACATTCCCGATTAACATATAGGCATATTCTTATTTCAAAAATCCTTTCGGGCTCCGCCCCAGTGGCTCTGGAGTTTCCCATGTTAACCTTATGAGAAATGGAATTATTGAATCTTAACAGCTGTTTCAACTAAACAAGTTGGTTCTGTTCTATGATGTTCAATCGCATTAAAGTTACAAGGATTACCAACAGGGTGCAGCACTATTATTTCTTTTACATTTATGACAACAGCTAATTTGCAACCAAAAGGTGAGTGAGCGTAGCGAACGAACTTCAACCTGGAGGTGAGTTAGCGTAGCGAACGAGCTAACCTGAAGGCAAGTGAGCGCAGCGAACCAGCTCCAACCTAAAGGTGAGTGAGCGTAGCGCGAACAATCTTCAACCAGGACGTGATTGAGCCATGCGAACGAGATCATCTTGAAAATTAAGAAGTTGAACGGGGCAAAGCCCGCGGGTTACAGCTAGTATAATTATAAACATAAGGAGGCCATATTTTAAAGGCTAAATACACTCTCGCCAATAAAGTGAATAAAATGATGTGAATCTTCATAGGTTCTCGTTTTTCAGGAGAAGGCCGCGTAAAATGCCTTCTGGGCCGTGACAGACAGACAGACAGAAATTGAGATAAGACCTGTTTCGGCTTCTTTAGTGTATAAAACGTAAAAATAACCAAAAAACATATAATTCTAAGCAATTTACAGACAAAACTCTAATTTTATTTAGATGTTAGTGTTTTGAAAATATAAAATTTAATAAATGGTATTTTTTTTACAGAGCTGTCGAGACAATTTCACCTACAATGTTGTAACAAAATCCAGAACTCAGCAAAGCTTTTTCACACTGTACAAACATCCGATTCCCATTGAGAAGGCCATGAAACAAAAAGCCAAAGCCACAAAGTAAATATGAGAGTTCCTTTGATGCCACTTCTCTGCAGCTGTTTTAAGTCTTCTCATATTGTGTAGCTTTGCAGTTTGATACGGAAATAGAACTATATCTTTCATCATCAAATCTATGATGAATTTATTTAATTTATTTCTTTAATAACAATTACCTAAAGAGTGACATTATTGACTTAGGTTGTTTTCATAGCTCTTAAGGCATTTATGCTCAATAAAAATACAAAAAATGTTAACATCTTAGATGCTAACAAAAACAATTATAGGCCCACTCCTTACATTTTGTCATCTGAACGGATATACTAAAGACAATTTAAGGGTAGTTTATGTGAATAAAATAAGCTCTGGTTCCGGCATAAGAGTGCTTTTTTGTTCAGCCATTTCTTTTTCTTACTCCTCTAACTGAAAAGAGATTTAAATTAAGTAAAAAAAAATGTATTAATAAACTAATTAATTTTAACATTTTCCAGAAACAGACGTTTTAGTTCTGGCACAGTTCATTTCAAACCTTAACACAGATCTATGTTGTAGAGTGTAGAACTATGTTGAACCGTGTTATACAGTTGGGTAGTAGAGTTTTACTGTAGTAAACTTGTTCGTGATCATTACGACGATTCCAGTAACATGTCTGATCGTGTTGGTTGTTTCAGTTGGGGATGTTGTGTTAAAACACAATAAAGAGTTGTTTACGTAACTCGGAACGTTGCACATGTCCACAACACATGTCGCACTGGTACGTTCAAACATCAATAATGGTCATTAACAACTAAGTTTCAGAAATATACCCTTATGTGTCTAATTTCTGTCAATTGTTAAAAATATGTTTGGGATTTACGAAAACAATTGTCGATCTTGTTGTTGCATGTTTTGTATGCCATTTAGAGTGATTTTCATCACTCGAAATATTTCATTATACGAAAACTGCTTATACGTACAACTAAGCTTATCGAAAAATCCTAGTTTTCCATTCTATCAAAATATAGCCTATGATTTTTTCTGTCTTAAACTTCTTCCTTGTGTTATTCGTTCACCTGTTTTAGAATTAAAATAGTCATAGTTAGTTGATGTGAGCCACCGACATCAATTGTGCTGGTCTAAATTACTCATTTATTTCGAACATACATACTTTTTAGCTAGTCAAACTAATAGAATGGCTTATTTGTGAGCTGATCAACATGGTCTGGTCAGCAATGACAAACAGGGTAGAAAATAAAAGTTTAAAAACTAGCGCATTCTGTGGCTGGCCCACTCAACTTTATTTATTTTAATGAAAAATTGGCGACAGCTGGCCCGGATAGATGGGATGTCTACTTCAGTCCAGTCAATGATTGAACATAACTTTTTCTGCCCCAAAAAAACCTTATTCCTTCCCAACATATGACCTTTTTGTTCAGCTCAGCAGGTGTGTAGTCTAATGTATGTATTCTTTTATTACAGAAAATAACTGGCTTATAATTTGTAAAACCATATTATGAAAACTGGGAAGACAATATTCCAGTTCCAGTTGGGAACTGGATTATGATTGGGATTTTCAATTTTATGAGATGATTGAGTATTTTTTGTTTGTTTTATTAATTAAAACACTTCAACTAAGAAGTTTTCTGGGATTATGTGCGTCAAGATAAAAAAAGTACTACCTTCACTACTCGTCAGTTAAGTTACATTTCGATTTCAGGGCTTGATAGTTGCTTCCAACTGACACACATACTGATAAAATTGTGATAACACTCGTTTATGATTTTTAGTATATAATACCCCCACCACAGCAAACCTGCAGACTAAGCGAATTTCCATTTGTCCGAATTGATATATAATTAATTAAATCTATTTAAATAGCATTAGGTTTGCTGCCACAGGGTGTTTAGACCAAGTGTGGTTTTAGACAAATATTTATAGCTTAGTATAAAATAAATAAATTTGCCAAGTTTGATCAAAATCCATAAACAAGCAAACTACAACATTTTACAATATTCTCCATAAAAATAACATAGGAATTTTAAATTTACAATTTTTAAATTTTCTCCGTAACCAATAATTATAAAAAAACACTTCAATATACTAAATTATTTGTTTTTTAAGCTCTTTAAAGTGTTTTAGAGATAAATTGGAAAATTTTTGTGTTTTGATGGTAAAAAATGAGAAAACCAATTTTTACCCCATAAAACCCTCCGCGTAAAACCCCGTTCCCATGGTCCAATCATGCAGATTTTACTTATTTGTTTTTCTTAATGAACAAACAGAATTCATTTTATTTACATGGATGATAACACTAGAACACAGATAACAGATAACTGGCTCTTTAGGATATAATACTTTTTTTTTATAATCGCTTACTAATATTCACACAATTCAAGGTTGTGGGTACGTTTATTCCAAAGGTTGTCAATATCAGCATCATATTTTAAATTTAGTAATTACCATTTCAGCAACATATTTTTCTAATTTTAGGAAGATGTTACAGTCTGGCAATTTCTGCTGTAGCTGATACTACGAGTCAGGCAATATGAAACACTTCTTTTAAAGATATTTTAAACGTTTATGAAATAATCAGAGATATTTGTTAAGAATTAAATCTACCTTAACAATGTCATCGCTTGTCCAAAAGAAGGTAGTATACAAAACTG